TCTAGAGTGCCACTAAAACAGGGACCGCGGGTTGATTTTATGTAAACTGAGGTTTTTTTTTTTTTTTGCAAAACAGCCACGACGGATGACCAAAAGCAATGGCTGCTTTATTTTTAGGGAAATATTTTTATATATGACGCAACTATAGGCCCGCACAAGTTTTTTTTTCAAGTTCATGTTTTTCATATTTTTTTGCATTTGAAAGAAACAAGCTACCGTAAAACTTAAATAAAGTGTTAGTGCATTTTAATAAATGTTCAAAATGTTTCACATTTACTAAAAGAACTATAAACATGTTTTGGAAATTATTTCACTTGTATAAAAAAATTGCAAACGTGGTTTTGAAAAATGTTTGTCATGCATTCAAAAAATGTTCAACGTGTATTAAAAAATATTGTGTAAAATAATTATTACATTTCTAAAACCATGTTTAACATGTTTGATTACATTTCTAGAATTTATTATTATGACATAATAAATTTTAATACGCGTTGAACAGTTTTTAAAGTACAACATTGTCATTTTTTAGCATGACAAAATCCACATTTCCAACTTTAGTCCTTTTATGTAATTAAATAAAATTGGAGGCCGTTTTCTAAAAAATAAGTGCGGCGTACAAAAAATATATGTGGGACATATCGCAGGACCAGCTCGTCAAGTTTAACGACCATATTGAAGCGATACTCTCAAGTTCTCGTACCTTATTGAAGCAGTTTCTGAGTTTGAAGATGATTATGGACTTCGCAACCAAGTTGAAAGACCATACATGCATTTTACTCCTCGCTTTAGGTAAAGATGGATGAAGCCGCACTGCCCAGATCTCGAGGCACCGACCACGTGATGCAGCAGGCTTAAACTACACGATTAAGTAAACCAAAGCTTAACTGTGCAGCAGCCAATGCGAGTCCACTTGCAAAGACTGAAAGGAAAGCTTTTCAAGGAGGAAAGAGAGAATGAAAAATGCTCGATGGACGTACTCGACCGACCGTCATATCCGATCCTACATGACATGTGAGGCATCACCTTGAGGCTGTGCATTGTACATGCCCTTATAGTTATCTCTCCAACGCTGGTGACGGACAAAAAGAAAGCCAAGCGCGTGCTGGGGCGTCACGCGTGGGAGCGCAAAAAAGATGCTGCTCCGCGGGCACGGTCACCCGTGCAAGCGTTCTCTCGTTGTTAAGTAGGCATGCTGTACGCTGATGTATCCTCCCCGTTAAGGAGCCATCTAGCTAGCTGCTACTGTAAGCTGTGAGCTTCTTCCTCCTCCCGCTTCAGCCGTCGTCGCCCAGTTGATCTGCTCATCTGCAGGTTAGCACGGTCACCCAGTTGTTTGCTCATCCCTTTTTTTTCTCTACTCTTGTTATGAGATTAACGACCCCATTTATAGTCTTGTTTTTGTTTTTTTTTTTGCGGGTGCCATTTATAGTCTTGTTAAAGCATATAGTGGCTGTGCTCCTAAATACTAGTCCTATTTGCTATGAGATTAACGACCCTATCTATAGTTACATGCTAGCACCAAGTTTTAACATGTTAGTTTGACACAGATCCATCGGGCAGGGCACCTCAACTCCAATGGATTCGCTCCTACCTGGTTTCCCGCCATCAGATGTGCCATCCCACAGGAGGTCGAGGTAAGGGCTTTCCCAGATCTGCTAGTGGTCTTCCTCTTGCCGCCCTTGCTCTCTCTTCTTTCAGGCGATTTTCACTTTCATGCCATACTTTGGTTGTTGGCAACCACTCTAGAAAGGTCCTCTGTTTTTTGCCTTTTGTTTTTAAGGTTCAAGTAATGAGACATGAAGTTGCCTTTTTCTTCTTGCTTCTCTTTTTGTGGGCAAAACAGAGAGTTTTATTCGTCATGTGCAGGATTACAATGACCTGAAATTCCACGTGAATAAAATCCGGAGGACAATGCAACCAACCCACGGTCCGTTCCACCATGGTTTCGAGGCAATTTGAACCCTGTTTTGTTTTCAATCAATCTACCTCAGTGCAAAATGCCGCTTCCTTTTAAGGTTCTGAATTTCCTAAAAAGGTGGGTGTACATCTCGCTTCGCGGATGTAGTGAGCTTTAGGCGAACTGCAGATTCTGATCTGGAGCTAAGCGTAGGCTTTCAACAGAAATCATATTCTTACTACAACTTACACAAAATAATTAAGAAGAGAAATAACTACCTAGAATACGATGTTGGAATTTAGGACAGTCAAACCGTATCTAATCCCAGCCTCTCATGAACTCTGATATTTCTAGCCGTCAGTTTTTGTGATTCTCCCTCCACCCAGAAATAACTGACGCAAGTGGAGTTCTGCAGGAAATAGTTAACGCAAATGGTGTACTAGTGCAGGCCTACACTAGTACCCCACTCGCGTCACTTGTTTCCGGACGGAGAGAGTAGTACGTAAGACTTTTGTACAGCATGTACGTGAGAATAATATTGCTAGTCTTTGTCGAAACAGGCTTTTGCCCCGCTTTATAGATAAAGCAATATTCAAAAAGGTACACGGTCGAATTATTGTGGCCCTCTTACAAAGTCGATCCTGAGATATCCGGCACACACATAACGCACGCGACTACACTACCAGCAATGAGCACCGAAAAACCTAAACACCACACGCTACGACCTAGTATACCTAAGCTCCACGACAACTCCCCCAAGAGGGAGAACAGCGCAGAGCGTCACTGCTGTCGAGTCCACACCGGACAATGGTCTTCAACCGGAGCCCTGAGACGGAGAGAAGAACCACAACACCGTCTTCAAGAAGAGCGCAACACCCATAGGTATCGCCGACGCAGTGCCAGAGCATGGAGCTTCCGCTCGGCAACTCACCCATGCCACAAAGAGGTCGCCAAAGGAAGCGTGACGGTGCCAGATCACTAGGTCTGTATTATGACGCCACCCCCTCAGGAGAGAAGGCACGTCCGAGCTACCCGCCTCCACTCCTCCCATTGCCCACACAATCCGGAAGAAGAGACATCACCACCGCAATGAGGCCTGACAACGAGCCACCATCCGGTCCTCCATCCAGGGCAGCTGCCCCGTCATCCTTGTCACGAGATACCGTATGTCGCTCACATCACAACGCACACAACCACAGAAGGAAGAGCGACGACACTCCATCTACTCCTTGCCCGGCATACCCCGCCGGGCCTGGGTAGGCGCCTCCACAGTAGGAGGCACCCACACCTGCGTTC